ATTGGAGCAAACGTATTGCTCAAGACTCTTAATAAACAAAGTTACACCACATCAGTGACTTCTTTTTCTCATGACCATGTCACCTCACAGTTGGAGCAACTCTCTTGCCAACACACCTGGAAAGCAGTTTGTCCATCCACACCCGCCCCTGGAAGTGGGACTTGCGTTAGGTAGTGCATGTTCCAGATTCAGGTGACTCAGGAACAGCCATTTTGCTGGGGCTAGGCCAGCCCCGAGTCTCACAGATCAGGCTGACAGTAAGCCCTGATTCAGTTTTCTGGTTTGGCTTACCAGAGTCTGGATCCCTGTATTCATAATTTATCTAATAACTTACTCCTTCCAGGATTCCACTTTCCCCATTTTTTAATTTTAGGAATTAGAGTCCTAGGACCTACTACTCACCATCCCACAGCCTATCTATATCCCCACCTGTATCTCTTTAGTCCTGCCTTCTAAAGAGAATACATTATCCTTTGGTTCCACGTGTCCTGAGCCTTCTTGAAGTCGGTTTGTCCAGTGAACCACTTGGCGGATGTCTGCTGCTCTATAGTGTCCTGTATTTTTCTTATATCTCCTAACCCTTTGTTTATCAAGTGCTTTTGGTATGTCAAGCTGAATGGTAATAGCAGTTCACAAGTGCTCTCATTTCATCATTGCGGCAGCCCTTGGTAGGCTGGTTCTATTATTATCCCTGTCTTAAAGATGAGGAAATTGAAGTTCAGAGGGGTTAAGTAACTTATCTGCTAGTCTACAGCTAGGAAGTAGCAGGTTAGGATTATAAGCCAAGTCTATTTCACTCTAGAAACTAAGCTCTTAACACCAGGCTCTGCTGCCTGCATGGTGGTTGTTCTTCCTCACTTGTAACTGAGGCTGACCAAAGTGCACGACTGGAAATATACTGGCTTCTCTTTGTTCTGTTTAGTTTGTTGTGACCGACTGGACCACGGGACATGTACAGTGCCAATGAGCCACAGTCATGTGAATCTTATACACAGCCCTGGGATTGTGAGCTGGTTATATCCATTAGACCCTGTTTGGCACAGAGTAGGTAGTATGCAGATGTTGAGAGGAATATGGAAGTCTGTTACTTTCCTGCCTTGCTTTACAAGTGAGACACACACACACACATTGGCATCCCATTGCCATACTGTCTTTGATATTGCACCATTGGTAAAACTTTCCAGTGCTAAAGTACGGTATCTCCCTGAGTCTAAAACAAATCTGCTTTTAAAATGGAGTCTTTCTTTCCTTTCTCTCCCTTCCTTTCTTTCCTTTCTCTCCCTTTCTTTCTTTGCTTTCTTTCTTTCTCTTTCCTTTCCTTTCCTTTCCTTTTCTTTTTTCTCTTTTCTTTTCTTTTCTCTCTCTCTCTCTCTCTCTCTCTCTCTCTCTCTCTCTCTCAACAGGGTATCATTATGCATTTCAGGCTGGCTTTGAACTCATGTGAACCAGGCTGGCCTTACCTGGCGTCTGATTTATGAACAATCAGGTTACTCAGCTTATTTTTACAAAAATTCTTCCTATATCTGAAATGTGGGCACATGGGATACAATAGGTGGGCTCCATTCTAGAACATCTTCAAAGACTGCCATTTTGATAGTAAAAAATAGGTAGGTTTAAGGTTCAAAGTCCACCAAGAGTTTTTGTCAATAGCAAAGATATTTATACCCAATAGGATTATCATAGGAGAGTAAAATGAAATAAATAACTTCCCTTGCATTAAGGTCGGTCTAAAGGGCAAGAGAGGAATTTGGTGAATTTCACTGTAGGTATGTTCAACTTTATGTGCATATGTATATATGTCTGAGTGTGCATCTGTATATTTATATGCATATATATATATGTGTATACATGCATGCTTTGTGTGAACATACATTTGTATTTGTATATACATGTTTGTTCACATATATGTATCTTGTGCTTATATGTGTGTTTGTATGCATGTGTGCATGTATATACAAGAAGGAAGGATCAGGCTGAATAAGGCTGCTGTGAGAGCAAACACTAAAGTTAGATTCATCTTTTTGGAGTTTGGGTAGATTGGGGTGAAATTTGGGTTTGCAAGAGAATATTGTAATGATGACAGTGCTTGTTAACCAATGTAAGTGATCTTGGGTATGTTCTGAGTGGTAGCCAGATAGGAAATAAAGCTGAAGTTTAGGTGCTATGACCATAATCTTATAACATGACTTACATTTATTAACCAAAATGACTTATAAGGTGATAGGTATCATGTGATTTTCGGTTTAAGAGATAGTATGATTTCTTAGTAAAATACCTTACAGTTTAGATCTGAACTGTCCTCCAACAGTCCGTGAGTTAAAAGTTAGGTCCTTAGCCTATCATACTTTTGGGAGGTGGCAGAACCTTTAAGAGGTGGGGACTAATTAGAGAAAGTCAAATCATTGGGGGGTGTGGCCCTGAAGGTGGATTGTGGGACCCAGCCACCTCCTGTCTCTGTTGCTTCTGAACTACCATGAGGTGAGTAGCTTCAACTGCCACATGTGCTTGCCATGATGTGCTGTCTTGCCACAGGCCTAAAAGCAATGGGTCAACTAACCATGGACTGCAACTTCCCAAACTGTGAGCCAAAATAAACCTTCCCCTTTTCTAAAGTCGATTATTTCACATATTTTGTCATAGTGACAGAAAGCTGACTAATTATACACACCTGAATTTGAAATCAGAGTGTAAAATCATTTTCTTGTCTTTTACTAGCTGTGTAATTTTGGGTGAGCAGGTCTATTTTCTCATTCAATGAAAAGGTTAAAAATACCAATCCTGGCCACTAGCACAAGATGAAGACACAAAATTTCAAGGTTGCTGGGATGCCTAAAAGTAAAAGAAAATGAGATACCATGCGTGCAAAAACTGTCCCAGTTGCAGAGTTGTTCTGTAGCATATAAATTATGTCTGACCTTGTGCTTGTTAATATTTTTCAGCAGATAACAAAGGTGACCTGGAAAAATGAGGCCCTACATTTCTTCATGAAGTGGCCCTGGAAGTTTCCTCTGGACCACAACATAGGAGAGGGAGATGAGCAGATTAGCAATTGTGGGTGCATGAGTGGAGGCCCACTGGCTTGTGGATGAAAATTTTGTCTACTTCAAAAGACTGACTCTTCATTCATGAGGAATTCATGACTTGGTATCATAGGTATTCCTTCCTGATGTCTTTGAAAACATGGAATGAAACAGACCTTATGTATAATTCTGTTCAATTATGGACTGAACTAAAAAGTCAAGGAGTCGAAAGTAGTCAGCCTGAAAATCCTGAGAAGACCTCCTGATACAAGCAGAAATTTAATTAAGGGACATGCATGAGAGGGGCAGAAGCCAAGTGACTTCATTCTTTTCAGCTAGGATAAGTGGTCCCCCTGGCAACATGACCTAGATCACTCAAGGAAAATGTGTATATAAAAATGTGTATATAATTTGTATATAAAAATATGTATATAAATGTGTATAGGGGCAGGGCAGGAGAAGATGATGCCCTTCCAGGGACTGGTTACATGGACACCAGTCCCTGGAATGGGGGAGAATCCCATTTAGAAACTACACTTACTGTATGAGAATGACTGATGTTCACCCTCTTGTAGAGCGCTCTCAAACCATCCCAGCACGAGTGATAGAGAGAAGAGATATTATCTCTGACTCTTGGAGAATGGGGTGTCCAAAATAACTGCTCTTGTGTTCTTTTATGCTTAGTAGTATTAAGAAGATGGTCTGACATGTTAGTTCCTTTTGGTTTATTCTGACAACTCAAGCTGAAGCATCCAGCAGCAGGACCAGGTGTCTAAGGCACACAATTTAAGGAGGCACTCACTCTGACTGTGCTTACTCACTGCACTCACTCCTGGTGCTTCCTTAAATTTTCCACCCTAGGATCTTCACTGGCTTTGCTCTGGTCCAGGCCCCAGCAGAGGACCTTTCAGGCTCTGCCCACCAGGAGGGCAGGAGGGCACATTTTTACTCTGTTCCTTCTCCCCAGTTCCACCCTAAGTCTGTCATCTTGGCCAAGAAGAATCCTAGGGTATTGCCACATGGGTGAAACATCATACTGGGCTTTGCACAAGGGGGCATTTCTCATTTCTCTGAAGCTCTGACTTTGCCAGCTGATTGTGCCATTGGTTGAGATGGAGAACAGAGGGTGAGGACAGGACAGTGAAGTCCCCGAGCAGAGGAAGGAATTAGGCCCTGGGATGCGGCCGGGGTCATGGCCAAGGGACAGCGGATAGAGTGGCAGCAGCTAGCTTAGAAACCTCCTGCGTAAGACTTGAGGGTTTGTTTGCCTGTGCGATTGGAATCTGTTAGCCTGACACAGTGAGCCCTGTGACCTGTTAGTTCTCCACTGATTCAGGCCATTCTCTCCTTCCTTATGAGGTCAGCGCTGTGAAAACAAAGCTGTTAGCACAAGGCATGCCTCCTGCCTGCTCTCTTTCCTCTCTCATTGTTTAGGTAGCTCCTGAGCCTCTTCTTCTATTTGTATTGCACTTTCTCTTCTGTACATCCTACTCCCATTGGATTCTCTACTGCCTAAGAATCACTGAGTTTACTTTCAGAGCCTAGAAAAATTCTGTCACTGAATTAAGTAGATGAAAACAGTTTATCAATGGAATACAGTGTCCCTGCGTTACTTGGTAATTATAGTACTTTATCATTTCCACATACATCATTTTATTTGACACAGCAACTCTCTATATTAGGTCTCAGTCAGGTACCCACTTTATGGATCAGGAAACTGAGGCTCAGAGAAATGGCCACTTTTTCAAGGCACTGGTAGTGCCAAGATTAGGATGGAACTCAGTTCTTTGGATTCCTACTCCAGAACTTTTTTTACCCAGTCAATCCCTCTCCAGTCAAAGATGGGCCCAGCTGACCAGTAAGATTGCACTCAGTCAACTTGTGTCCCAATTGGACCATTTTTGGACTTTAGCTTTTCTAGAACCAATTCCTCCTACTCTTATCACATCCTCTTCCAACCACACCCAATCAAGCCCTCACCTGGGGGTTCCAGATGGGACACTATTAGGTAGATGGCGAAGTCCATGAAGGAGCAGTTACACTTCCAGGGGTTTCCACTCAGGTACAGGGTCTGGAGTACCACGAGGTGGTGCAGCGCAGCATGGTCCAGGGTCTGCAAGCCAGTGTTTCTGAGGTCCAGGTACCTCAAGGAGCTGGTGTTGGCAAAGGTGTACTTGTCAAGAGATAACAGGCGAGGGTTGTTGGCAAGGTTGAGCTGCACCAGGTTGTTGAGCACCGAGAAGCTGAATGGGGAAATGGAGGTGAGGTTGTTGGAGCTGAGGTCAAGGTAGATGAGTCTGAAGACCCCGATGAAGGTGTAATCCATCACCTCTCGGATCCAGTTGCTGTGACAGTCCAAGTAAACAAGATCACTGAGGAGTCCTAGATGCATGGCTGGCAAACTAGTGATTCTGTTATTGTTCAGGTACAGCCTCCGGGTGTTCAGGGGAATGTCAGGGGGATATTCCGTTAAGTGCATCGCTGTGCAGTTCACTTCTTGGGCTTGACACAGGCAGTTATTTGGACACTTTGTTCCCGATACCAGCCCCATTCCAAAGGAAAAGAGTAACCATCCGGGGCCAGGGCCTGAAGCAGGGGACATAGTAAGAAGCCAGGACTACCCTCTTTCCACCTTCCTGCAGGCGCGGTCGGTCCCTCTGATCCAAAGGCTGCTGAGGGGTGGGGCGTGGCGGGGGAGGGGCGCTGGAAAGAACTGTAACACTCTAGCTTTGTGCAAAGCAATTTTCCATTACAGGAGAACCGAACAGAGTTGAAACGCGAGGCCCAATGCCCCGCCGCCCAGCTTCGTGGCTCTGCTGCTCTCTCAGTCCCAGACTGCTGCTGGAAGCCGGCCCACTTGGCGGCTTTGAAAGGTCTCACCCTTTCCCTGCCTTTGAAGTGAAGGGGAGCCAGGGGAGAACCACATGACAATGAGGTTGCCAGTTGACACCTTTGTGATGTCAGCAGCCTCAGGAGACTGCCTGGCGGAGGCAAGAGCCGCCTCGCCTCTGCCTGTGGGTGGTGTGGGGGTGTTTTGTGTATCTCGGTAAGCCGGCTGGGGGAGGGGGCTCTGTGGTGGGGAGGGTCCTGCAGCGTGCGAATGTGGGGGGCACACGTGGATTCACCACGTCCAGGGCCAGCTCCGCCCCGAGGTGTAGGAGAGGATTAGGCTAGACCGGCCCACTTCATCGGCAGACCAGAGAGGGAGCCTGGGATTTCCAGCCTAGCTCCCCTTCTTACTGACTTGCTTAAGGTCAGCTCGCAGAATGGGTCTTTTCTAGGGCACTGAATTTGGAGGGGGTGACAAGGTTTTGTTGTCGGCAGGAAAAGATGGGAGAGCTGATGCCACCTTTGTAATGAGGCAAAGGGAATTCCTGTTATATCATTCCTATCGACGTGTGAAATATATATATATATACACATGCACACATATATATGTATGGATGTATGTATTTTAAAAAAACTTTTGAACAAACAAGAGCTACTTCCCTTAAACAATCCAAATTTACGCATTAAAAAAAAATCTCAGTGCCATAATGTGAACTATTTTTTACCAGTTGCATTGTCCCAGGACTTTTAAAGTTCTGAGTGCCTCTTTACTGATTCTAGTTCATTAACTACTTGACACATGATGGCGGCCTTTTGGAGGGAGGGACTGAGTCTGGAAGCCAAAAGATTGGGGTACATCCTCCACTCTGTGGAGGTAGGCACGTGGACAGAAACAAAGAAACAGCATCTCAGGAGTTAAAATTTGTATTTTGGGGAAAATAAGCATTTTCTTCTTTAAAACAGTCACATGTAACTTAGCTGAGAATATTAATAATGCAATGAAACCTATATTTAGCCTAGCATAGTGCCTGGCACCTGGTATATAATAAATATTTATTGAATGAATGATGCGTGAATGTCTCTGATGGTTCGCTTCCTTTCTTGCCTCTCTGCCAAGACAGAAATTAATAAAGTCAAGTGGATTTGTGGCTAGTTAGCTAATGCTTGATTATGTTTACTTACTCAGCATTCCTTGGGTGACTGGCTATGAATTAATATGACTTAGGAGTGTTTACCAAATTGAAAGTGACCTTATTTAAGCAGAAATTTCAAACACTTAAAGTAATGACCCAAAGCTAGTTGTACTAATTGAAGCTGGATTTAATTGATAGGGGTGCCACGCTTTCTTTATAATTAAAAAAAGTGCTATTAAAAAATAAGTTCTTCCCTAGATCTGATATGATTGTCCAGGAGGGAAATTTGGAACATAAAGTATATAGAACAGAATTAATTTCCAAAGTGACCCTTTCCTCCGCGGGTGACGGGAGGGTGTGCTGCGTAGGCGGGGTGCGTGGGGATGCCGAGCTAGGAGTGGGCTGTGTGTATGCCTGCTTCATCTCCATGAGAGATGATCACCGGCTGACCTGCCATGGTTTGAGGGGTGATTTTGCTGACTTTCTACCATTTCTTTTACGCCATTCTCCCTGGTTCTGACCCTTCTTTTCCTCGGAGAGCCCGTCTCCTGGTTGTCTCCTTTAATTTCCAGCTTTCTTATCCAGACTTAACTTTTTCAAGACAGTAGCCTCAGGCTTGGGCTTAACCTGTATGGCCACAAATAGCCTCACTTAGCAAAGCCTTAGATAACTTGGATAAATAAATCATACTAAAGGTCCCTGACCAGAGTTAGTCAGCTGTGCCTCACTCTTTGGGGTATTACCATCTTAAAGCACTTTGAATGGTTAACCTTAAGGAATATTCCTTTTGCTTGTGCTAGCTGTTTTTTGTTTTGGATTTTTTGGGGTTTTTTTTTTTTTTGGTCCTAAAATCAATGCTCACAGCCTCATTTTGACTTTGCCAGGTTAGTTCACGCCCCTAAAAGGTGTTCCTCATTTTTAGACTGAATAAATGTTTGCTAAATAGAGAGTCAGTAGACCAGACAAAGGAGAATAGAGACTATACCATTTTATAAATTCCATGATCTCTGAATGTTTAAAAATTTTTTTTACCCTAAAGAACACCTTTGTGATTGTAAATTTCAGAGATCCTGCATTGGGCAGGTCTACACTAGGCTGTTTGCCCTAGGTTGAGTGACTAAATTTCTCTGGGATTTATTTTTCTCTTCTATCTACTGAGGGAGGTTGGCCTTGTAATTGCAAGTCTCCTTAGCGCTGCCAAATTCCTTCACGATGGAAAGGTTGCAAGCCTCACCTACCAAACCAGTAGCACCCTAGTGTTTGGGGGCCAACAGGGGAGTCTTTCTGCGCCTTCTGATCACACCTACGCAGCCCTATTTGTTGGGTGGCTGTAAACCAAGAATTCACTCTCCCCTGCTGGTTGTTTATGCAGCTCAAGCAGCAGCTGGGTTGCCCTCCGTGTGTGTAGCTGTTTATCAGCCCAGCTGTACCCCCGAGGTGGCCTGTGTACCCATCCTTCCAGGAGGATGAGTGGGGCAGCTATGAGCAACAAGAGATTTTCCTCTCAGTGCTGGCTCACTGGCAGGATGTGGTCGTGGGCAGACTTCTGTGTTCAGATGTGTCTGGTTGAGATGCTGCCTTCCTGGATTAATGGTCTCTCCCAGATGCCAGTATACTTCTAGATGGCTTTCTGATGATGCCAGTGACACTGGGCACTGCCCCTGATATTACAAAAGGAAAAGGCAGGGGCCCGCCGGCAACACTGAAACTCCTTCACAGTGAAACAGTGTGACTTTGCCATCTCCCAGGACCTTGATTTCCTTTCTGTAAAGCAAGACTAGGATGCTAACAGTTTTTAAATTGCATCAGAATTTGGTTGTGAAGGGAGAGGACAGAGCAATAAAGGGCGAGCCAGGCAGTTACAGGGTTGGTGGAGTGTAGGGAGCAGTCCATAAATGTCTCCCAGTAGCTATTCCACCTGGAGGCCTGGGGACAGTGCTAAGGAAACTTGATTTTGATCTGCTTTTATTTACCCAGGAGAAAAAAATGCAGAAAGGAATGTGTGTGCCATTTTATTAAGTGAAAGCTGTGAGTGTGTCAACTCAGACCCATGTGGGGCTAGAAAGCTGGGGTGCGCGAGGCACTGCTTTGTTTTTATTGACTGAACAGCGGATACGGTGGGTCCAGGTCTAAGGAAAGTCACAATTTCCAGGACTCTGGCCCCAGAGCCACCTGTGGCATCCAGTCCATCCCAGGCTTTGATCCTGCCTGTGTCTCTTCAGCAAGTCGTCAGTGTGTGAGTGTGGGACTGGGAAACAGGTGGAAATGAACAAGGAGGTCAGCCTGGAAGAGAAGAAAAATTCCAGAATGTTCTGGAGCCTCATATGGGTCGATGTCTGACCGGAGCCTGTTCTTAGTACTAGCTGGCATAAACCATTTTTCTCTTTCTCCTCAGGCTGCCTGGGTCCTGACTCAGGACACTGGACCCGTACAGAGTAAAGGCCACAGGAAATCATTCCAATGTGTTGTGTTCATCAGGAATGGCTTTGTTTACTGGCTTCACCCATATTATGCATCTCTGCAGCATTTGTGATCTAGAGGGATCCAAGGGGAAGCCTTGAACTTGCCTACTTTGTTTAGGGTTCATTATTTAGCTTATTACAATTGCCAGTAGCTAGGCTTATGAATAGTATTCACCGTGCCTAAAACTGAGATTGTAACTTTGCCAATGGCAGCTGTCAGAACCCGTCAATTTGGGAGAAAAAGGGCCCTCTTTCTAGGTGCTTTGAGAATTGTCAGTGTGAGAGACAATTGTGGTGTAGGATGAGCTTTGACATGACAGGACTCTACAGAGTGACTTTGGGCAAACACTTCATGTTCTGTGGGCATTAGGTAAAACAGGGAGATGGAGTTTGCTTTTCCAGGGTTGTGATGAGGATGGTGTGGGATTTAAGGTAACAGGTAATCACTGTTTACTTTTAATCCTGTGTCAGGCATGTGATCCTCCCAGCCCAATTAGCTGCATAGGAGGACACCCACCTTACAAATGAAGATAGAGCTACGACTGCCCAGAGTCACACAGCAGGTGAGTGGTGAGGGCTGGACCAGTCTGGCACAAGCCTTTACCTCCTGAGCTGTACCACTGCATCGGGTGCAAGTGCCTTAAAATGCTCTTTGTTGTTTTCATTGGCTCCACGCAGTAAACCTTTGCTGCTTAGCACTTAAGATCCAGCCACTGCTTTTTAATGTGGTCAGTTTATACATTGAGGTTCCTTATCTTTTGGAAAACTTATAATTCTTTTTAGCCTTTAGGTTCCCATATTAAGTCTTGATATTGTTCAGTCTGATTTTTTTTCCTTTTGCAGTGGGGAAGAAACTAAATGGAAAAACAGTTTGCCTAAACTCGCTCAGAAAAAGGGTTGGCAGAATCAACAATTGACCCACTGATGCCTGAGTTGACCCTCTTCCCAGAGAACCACTTTTGTAGGAAGGAATTCCTTACAGCATTGGCTGGAACATGCTGTGGCCACTGGGCAGAATGGTGCATGCATAGCAAAGTCACTGAGGGTGCATAACTACCTGGGCGGCAATCTCTCTGTAACCAGGGGTGGCCGCCCCGTTCCCATCCTATTCTTTATAGCAATATTTGAAACTAAAACTCTAAGGCAGTGATAACCTTGATATGGTCCCTTGGTGGGATCTAAACTCACAGAGGCTTGTGAGGTCACAGTTGGAGAGGAAGATGGAAGGAAACTGAATCCTGTCTCTTTAGTTTCCTCATGGAAAGATTTTTTTTAAGAAGGCGGGATCAGGTGAAAACTTTTACTCTTCTGGATTCTCTGTGGGGCAGGGCTCAGCTTGGCATTTGGTTTGGAAGTTGAGAACTGATAGCACTAATCTTGCCTGAGGCTGGGTGAGAGCATCTCGAAGTTTCATTGTTTTTCTAATGTCTTCCGCTGTTTCCGTTCTCCTTGGGCTGGTTGTCAGAGAGGTGAACTGAACTATAGGCTGTCTCCCGGTGATGTTCCCATTGGACAAAAGGGCACGCCTGCAGGGAGCAGAGCTGGTCAGAGCCCCCACCGTGGGCTTCATGAGGAGCATCAGAGCTGCCCATCTGGGGATCATGAACCGGCTCCCTCAACACGGCTCTTCCTATGCTTCCCTCAAGTGAAAGTGTTGCCTTTAAGGCCTCATGTGGTTTCAGGGACACCAAGCTGGAGGAAAGCTGGGTGAACCGACAACTCTGGGATCAGTGTTTCTGCTCTGGTTGCCAGGCGTGGTCTCCACTGGGACTTTCCTCCCCAAGAGCTCACATGAGGAAAGGCACCTTCTCCCCTTCCCTGTTTCTTCTGACTGGTAGCAGTAGCAGGGGCATGATCTCTAATCTATCATGGAGCCTAAATAGCTTCCCCTCCATTGCTCTTGCTATTGCCCTTGCTGGAGAGCCTGTGTTCAATGTCTATGCTCCCCAAACTGCAGGGGGCGAAGGTCAGGGAAACACTTATATGAAGTCCTGTCCCACGTGTCTCCACTGTCGCTTGGCCACTTGTCTTCTCCCTGTTTCCCCAACTTAGAGCCTCCATACTTTTGTGCAGAAACCCGCTACTTGGGTTCTCCCTGAGATAGGTTCTTTTGCTGTTGCCCTAGTAACAGAATTATTAAACCAAGTTCCAGCCTTGGGAGTATGCGTGCCTGGTGAGGTAATGTCTGTCGCATCCAGCCTTCTTTTCCCTTCATATTCCCACTCCCTCGCTTCAGGCCCTTCATGCCGCAGACCTAGCCTGACATCCCATCTTCTCCCTGGCCTCTCTGCCTCCTGCCAATCCTCCTCCAAGGTGAATTCTCAAGTGCAGACACTGCTCCTCCCATATGCTGGCATTCAGAACTCACCATTGTTCCTCAAACAGCCAACCTATAACCCACAGTGCAGCGGTGCTTATAGCCAAGTGAGCCCTAGCCAAATATGGCAATGAGGACAGAGCCAACTAGAATTAGAGAGGACTTAGTGGCTTGTGGATCAGGGGGCAAAACAGTGCAATGTTTAAGCATATGGATTTTAGACTTACACCGCCTATAACATCATAAAACTGTAAAGTTTCTTAACTCCTCTAAGTCTCACGTTGCTCAAATGCAAGATGGGGGTAATGATACTAACTTCCTCATTGAGGCTTTTTGGGCCAACTAAAGAAGCTCAACTTCTAAAGAGCTTGGCATAGTATCTTCCAGCATAGAAATGCGCAAAGATGTTAGCTGTGGCAACAACAATGATGACGGGAAGGTGGAAGTGTGGAGGTGTGAAAATTGGACCGGAGACTGGCTCCTAAATTCAGTGAGTGGGAGGACATCATGCAAATGGAGAATGCAGGTGCAGAAGAAACAGGTTTTCAGAAATGGATAATGATTTTGTTCTGGGGTTTATTGAGTTTGACGTGTCATAGCTCACATTTATTGACTTTGCACTGCGTGGCAGGCACTGTACTAAGCACTTTGCATATGTTGGTTCTTACATAATTCTTCAATAAACCCTGCAGTGATGAGTGTTAATCTCTGGCAAGGTTAAGTAACTTGCCCACAGCTATGAAGTCTCAGAACTGGGCTGTGAACCAGGCCTGTGAGTCTTCAGGCTTTCCCTCCATATGCACACTGCCTCCTCTGTAGCTGTATGGGAGGTATTGGGTGATTCTTTTGGGCTGAGATGGTCGTTGGGTACTCATAATTGTCTGCTTGGCTTCCTGCCTATGTAATGTTTTATCCTTTCATCTAGGGTCTGCGTGTGTACATTTGGCCCCCAGATATGGGACTTTTTTTTGTGACACACACAAAATCTCTTCTGAGCTTGGCTCAGCGTCAGTGGCTCAGTCTTCACAGGGCAGTTTGGTCTTTGACTCACTTCAAGTGCCCCTGGGTGGGGTATTTTTATCTGGAAGTGAATGAGCTTCTCAGGACCTTAGTTTCTATCTTGGAACAGTTTGTGTAGTTACAGAATTGTAGAGGAATTCACTGCAAAGAGGAGGCATTTGTGATTTTTCTTAACATTCATAATACTGGGCCAGGGCTAGGTCCCTTGCTCTGTGATTACTGAATGAATCTATGACCATCTGAATGCATATATGGTATTTAGCATGCACATTTGCTCCCTTTGCTTGTCTCAGATGGGACTGTTCACTTTTTCAATTTCCTTAGTGTTCTGGTGGGTTACCCTGATTTACATTGCCTCAGGGATGACTTTATAAAGTTCTGAGGTCAGGTATACGGTAGAACTGGGCTATGACGCTGGCATTGGGTGGTAGAAACCTGCTTGCGTATGAGGTGGGAGGTGGAGGTGGTGGGAAGGACAAGGGTAGACCGGAGCACGTTTCCTCCGCAGACTTTATAATGCAGAAAGATGCTCTGAATATCCATTCCCTTTACTTAGCAGAAGCCAGGGTGCAGAAAGTTTTTAGCAGGCATTTTCTGTTCTTTTCGTAACAGCGCTTCAATGTGGCAACTTTTAAAATACTTTCCTTCCCTACGTCCTTTCAGGTACTTACATTTTCAATAACCTGAATATGGATTTCAGTGCTATTTAATTAAGCCTTAAACCTATAAAAATGCTCATTTAATACTCAGAGTAAACCCATGACTTGTTCTTTCTGAAGATAAACAGGTGAGATACCTTCTTGAACTCAGCGTTCTGAGATAATTAAGATTAGTTGCCATAGAGAGAAAGAGAGAGGGAAACATATTAAAATGTATCATACTTTTTGTATTTAGAAAATTCATTTAATGAAATATTCAGAACCATCAGATCTACCCAGACCTAGATACCTATTCATCTGTTGGCTCCTGAAGCCTCAGAAAGATCTTTCTTCATCAGGAAAGCTTTCTGACCGCTTTAGCCCTCTGCTGAGAAGTTTTAGTGTATACACTTGATGTTCAGTCTTCTAGGCATATGGCGCCTAGAAGGGTGTGGGCCCACCCTGCTTCCTCAGCTTCATTGCTTACCATCCAGTCAAGAAGTGCCTGTCCTTCCTACCGACTCTGCATTACCCCATGTCTCCCTCCTCTGGAGTTCTCTTTCTTGTACTCTGCTGGCTTTGCAAGTTCTTGCTCATCTGTGAGATTCATTTAAAGTTCCCCATCTTGTTCAAATGTGAGGCCTTCTTGGATTCCTCTCCACAGAATTACCCTAAGTCGTCTTAGACTTTGTATTTTTGTGACAATTCTCATCACATTATACCTTGATTATGCATTGTCCCCGCTAGACTGTGGGCTCCTCGAGGGCACAGCACTTTGTCTTGTTTGTGTATTCGTATAATATGCTTAGGTCATATAGAATCACTCCTATCAAAGAGATTAGGTGAATGACATCATATTGCCAATTAATAGTATGCATTATGATGTCATAAAGACCTTTTTAAAGGAAACAATATGATCATGTCTGTGGTGGTGCATATATACAATTTGTGAGCTTGAGATGTAGCTCAGTGGAGTGCCGGGCGTCGTGGTGCATGCCTGTAATCCCAGCAATTGGGAGGCTGAGGCAGGAGAATTGTTGTAGAGTTTGAGACCAACCTGGGCTACAAAGTGAACTCGAGGCCAGCCTGAACTGCATAGCGAGACCCTGTCTCAAAAAGACTAAATAATAAATAAATAAATAAAATCTCAAAGTGACTGAGGCTGGCATCTGTTCATTGTAATGGGTTACCCTGAATAAAGAACTGAGACCAGAATCCAAATTGGAATTTTAAGAGCCTTTATTAGCCGGGTCAGCGGCTGTCAGTCTGTCCTCCACGCAGGGAGATGCTGAGCAGCCCCTAACTGAAGAAAATTTGAGCTTTTAAGCTTGAAAACCACATCCTGGTTGGCGCAGGTGAAAAATTTTTTGCAAGGGCAGAAAAGTGGAACCTTTCGGTTTCAGCAAGCAGGTGTTATAAAGTTTAGAAAGTTCTCAGAAGCATATATTTTTTTTCTCAAACTAAAAAGAACAATCAAGCACAGTGAACAATCAAGCACAGTTTCTCTTTCTTGGGTCAAACTGACATTTTTTCCTCCACCAATAGGTGGAGTAATATTACTGGCACCAATAGGTGCC